CACTAGAGTATCTTGGTTCCCTGGAAAGTTGTGTATTCTGTATTAATTACAAATTGGGAGGCTACTAAGCCTTCAGAAGCAGCAATGCCAGATTGAAATCTCTCATTATTACAGTGACTAAGATTTGCTGGAAGAGGCATAGGCCCAGGAAAGAACATAAAAAAGGTGCTGGAAAGAATGAATAAAGGCCAGGCATGGCACCTCACATCTGTAATCCTAGCACTCTGGGAGGCTAAGGTGGGAGGATCCCTTGAGCTTAGGAGTTTGAGACCAGCCTGAGAAAGAGCAAGATCCTGTCTCTACCAAAAATAGAAAAATTAGCCAGGCATCATGACAAGTGCCTGTAGACCTAGGTATTCAGGATGCTGAGGCAGGAGGATCAGAGCTGGTCTGCCATGGTACTTTAGTCTGGGCAACAGAGTGAGACTCTGTCTTCAAAAATAAATAAATAAATAAAATTAAAAAAGGATGAATAAGGCCTGTAGGCATCCGGCTGCTGGAACCTTTGGAAAAGTCACTAAAATCAAGTCAAGATGCAGCTTTATGTCTTTCAGAGCTCACCGTAATCCTTAAATAAAAAGATCTCAGAACATATGCATTGATAATGGAAGCAGCAGTTACACAGGAGTCAGCTATCATACACAGATTAGTTTGTCTCTGCCTTTTTTTTTTTTGAGATAGAGTCTCACTTTGTTACCCCTAGTAAAATGCTGTGATATCATAGCTCACAGCAACCTCAGACTCTTGGGTTCAAGCAATTCTCTTGCCTTAGTCTCCCATGTAGCTGGGACTACAGGCCCCTGCCACAATGCCTGGCTATTTTTAGAGACAGGGTCTCACTCTGGCTCAGGCTGGTCTCGAACCTGTGAGCTCAAGTGATCTGCCTGCCTCAGCCTCCCACAGCGCTAGGATTACAGGTGTGAGCCACCACACCCAGATGTCTGCTTTCTTATTTCTTGAGAACGGTAGCCTGTAATCTTTCAAAACTAGGTAACAAGTTCATAATTTCAGTCCAGTTTAATGAGTGTATGTCATACTGATGGAATGAATCAAGAAGAAGCTAGCTGTATTTGATTCACAATGTCAGTTTTTAAAGTGTACTTTTTCAGGGACGGAGTTGCTCTGTCACCCAGACTGGAATGCACAGGTATGATCATATCTCACTGCAGCCTCAAACTCCTGGGTTCAAAGGCAATCCTCCTACTTTACTCTCCCCAGTAGCTAGTACCACAGGTACGTGCCACAATATTCAGCTAATTTTTCTTGAACTCCTGGCCTCAAGCCAACCTTCCACCTTGGCCTCCCAAAATGCTGAGTTTTTAAGCATGAGCCACTGTACCTGATCACAATGTCATGTAATAAAGATATCCTAGAATAAAAATTTTAGCATTAGAAATTACCTCAGATGTCTCCTTATCCAAGCTTCCACCCAATGCAGGAAATGATCATCCCACCTTTCGCTTCCAGTGAAAGAGAATTTAGAAACAGTTCTTTAATTATGTTCAATAGTTGTATCTTGATACTGTTCTGAGCCTTAGCTTTCTCTTCTGCAAAACTGTGAACAATACTACCTTCTTTGTAGGGGTTAGTAGTCTCTAGGTTATAGTAGACACTTTCCTCCAGTTGACCCCTATCTCTACCTACTGAAAATGCCTGCCTGTTGGCACTAGAAAGAACACTTTCTGCATAACAACTCTGAAGACAATAATATTACCAGTGCCATTTCCTGGATGCTCCATTCTCAACCTGTGGGTCGTGACTCCTTTGTAACAATAAAAATACATAGTGGCATTAAGAAGGTTACTCTACAGATTATCTCTGTCTTACAAGAGACATCTATATACAGAGTCCTTAATACTTCTACATATAATATAGTGTGTAATCAACTAAAACACTGATATAATCCTCACATGAATTGCTGTTAATCCATGTTCTCCCCCACTATGCAAGTATAAGTTTTTTAAAAAGTGAAAGTCATACTGTATGTATTTTAACTCTGTTAAAACAATTTTGTTGGTTTTGTTTTTTTGAGATGATTACAAATATTGATTCTGTCGCTCATTGCTTAAGGGCTGGTTAGGTTTGACCTTTTTTTAGTAATTAGGATAAACAGACAAATACAAGCGAGAAGGCTTTTTGAGGCAGAATGGCAGTATCTTCTGAGTAGAAGCATAATTCTAGCTACATAATAATAACAATCATCACAGCTAAAGCATATTGCTTGTTGACTACTTAAATACACTGTAAAAATGTTAATACCTAAAGGTAAGTTTCCATCATCTGTAAAGTGCATTTATTTGGAATGCCATTCAGACAATGAATTTAACTCTATATTAAGGTTCATTCAATCCTCTTCCTTCCCATACCTCTCCTATTTGTTTGAACTAAATAAATCCCTTTCTAGAAGTAAATGTTCTGCTGACTGACCTAGCATAAAAGATTGTTCTCATACATAAAACTTTGAGTGACTACCATATGCTAACTGCTTTATATGGATTATCTCATTTGACGCTAGGAGGTAAGTACTATTATTACTTCTGTTTTATAGTTTACAAAAGTTACAAGGCCAAACTCAGTGAGGTTGACTAATTTGCCCAAGGACATACAGCCAGTAAGACACAGCTGTCGAGCTAATAGCAATGGAGGAAGTGAGGACCTTCCAGGTTGGGGCTCCGACACATACACTTTGTTAGACAAGCACACGGTGTGGGAAGATTTCACTTTATTATTACATCAATCTCACAAATAAACCCAACATAGGCAGAAACGCTGAACAGATAAAGTGCCAATGCAGAGAGGCCTGGTAACAGATGGAGTGAGGAATCCAGTTCCTCTCCACGTTCCCAGCCTGTAAAGTTATTTCTATTACACAAGAGTGAGGGCAGCTGACATACCAGGCAATCCTTCCTATAGACACTTTGAGCTAAGAAATAGAAAATTGTACCAGATAAGGTCTGTGTGTGCAGGGCAAGGAAATAGAAAAGTCAGAAAACATTAAATTTCTCAAATGATACAGGCATAGAAATAACAAACAATAAAATATTTTTTCAAACTCCTGTATTTGAGATGGACATCTAATAAGGAAGATTTAGTACTTCTTGTTACTGCCTATCTTAAGAACTATAACCTGGGTAGATACCCTTTCTCTCACACACTCAATCTAAGGTGCCAGAATTTTCCAAGGTCTGGGAAAAACTGACTTCATCTTCAAGCCCAGAAAAGTAGACCCAATGGTCTACTTTGAACATCAAGGAGATATAAGCTATCAGAGTAATTAACTTGGCAGCACTTAAAGAAGGTTACTCAAGACCTTCCAAAGAATGGAACTCAAGACCTTCCCATAATTGTCTTTAGACATTTTTAGGATCCTCTATCAAGCCTGGAATTAAAACACAATTATTTGTTTAAAGAGCTCAAATGATTTGACTGCATTGAGATTATGACATCCTAAACTCAGTTCAGACCAATTATTTCTATTCCAAAACTGGAAAATCACTGACTTTCAGAGGCCAAAAGGATCACTAAAGACCGTCTGATTATCCTCTGGGTCATACAATCCTTAACTCTAAGAGCAGTTGTGTCTTTCTAGAACCACTCAAAGAGCAGTTGTATTTTTCTAGAACCTGAAGGTTCCTGGGTTCACTTGGTCCACAGTGAATCCAAATAGGGATAAACCAGAAAGAACCTTCAACATGCCTCACATGACCAAGAATCAATGCTCAGATTGGAACTTTCAAAGCATAGAAATAAATGGTGAAGTATTTCAACTCAGTCCTAGGATAAGCAGACCAAAATATTGCCATGATAGGGGAAAAGCATGGAGAGGCCTCAGTGGAAAAGCACAAGTCCTTCCTAGGTAAGAGAATAGGGTGATGCTGGAGGGGGTGCTGAAGGCTGGTCACCCTGGGATTACCCATACTAAGCTTCAGGTGTGGCCTCTCAACCATGGCTGTGTTTAGTTTTCCATCTACCTTTTATAGAGACTGATAAGAAAGTGACCTAGGGAATAACTCAGGCACAACTAATTGTAGTACAGCTGCCTAGTTGTTCAAATGGCAGTCTTTGAGTTCCTAGTCTTTAGGGAGCTTCTGTGAGGTCAAAATCATTTACAGTTCCAAAGAATTATCTGGTAGGGGTACTTGCTGAACACCAAATGAGATAGTTGGTGGCACTTGGCAAAGCTCAAAGTACTACTGCCATGAACCAAGGGCAGACTTGGGATTATCTTAAAGGGATGATATTCACAGGTAGCTATTTTTTCTGACTTGTTCAAGCATGTCTATGGCTGAACTGAAGGGGAAATTCCATTACAGATATTTGTTTGCCTAAGCTGAAACCCCTCAACCAACAGGTTAAAAATACCTATGTGATATCCCCAATCCTTTGAGAGGGGTCAGAAATACTGGGCAGTTACTAAAGGTTGTCCTTAACATTCTCAGCTCCTTCCCTTCCTCTTTGCTTTGTACAGGATAGAGCAACCCTCAATTCCCTGCCTGGAAGTTTCATTCTCTACCTCCATCCCAGAAAGGTCTCCCCAGGTAGGCCTCCCCATCAGTTGATTCAACCCAGTCTACTCCCTTCTGTTCTGGCCCTGCTCTGGGTTATTTCGTCTCCTTTTTCCTACCCTTGTTTGCAGCTACTTGAGTCCTTTGCAGACACCCAATAGGATAGGCAGAAATACTGACTGGATCTTGGGGGTAAGGAATGTCTAACAGTGATGCCCAGATTATTTTACTGAAGCTTTCAACTGCATCTTGGAGAGGGATTAATATTCCTCTTTTCTGTGGTACCCTTCCCTTCCTCTTCTACAAGTTCACAGTGAGAGACTATTTCAATTTTTTACTTACATTTTTAGGAACCAATATTAGGGCCTAAATGTGACAATTTGGGGCCAGGGAATTTTTAGTAGGTTTGGCACACAAGAGAAAGGGCTACTAAGATCGTGCTAGGATCCATCTCTAAAACATACTCTTCTCCTACTTTGCCTTTTTTTTCCTTTTACTCACTCTCACCTTTTGCCCTCCTGTTAAGGCTTGAAGACAAATGAGGCAGCATGGGAGCCTTGGCTTAGAAGTCAACATGGGATTCTAGATGCCTTCTGGCACTGACCTAATATATAAACTTAGACAATTCCCTTGCCTCTTTGGACATTTAAGGAAAGAGCTGAGCTAGATGATCTCTCTGGGATTGGGATCTCTCAGATCAATTAATACTTGACTGATAAGTCAATGAATAAATTAGAAAAAATTCTAATTCCAAGACATAGGTATCTTGCACCTCTCTGGAACAGAGGAAGGGAGGTAAAGGTCAGGTTCCTATTTATTATACACTTAGCTATAGGAAAGGAAGCAAGTGTATGGAGTAAAATAACCTGGCAGCCCCTATACTTGGCTAATAAAAGCAAATTCCTGGAAGAAGCAGAGAAATGGGCCACAAGTGAGACCTGGCAGTGTCAAAAAGGGTCTATAAATTAAAGGATTAAAGGAGTAAAAAACAATGCCTATAACCAGACAAGATCTCTAAGCACAGACTATAGTCTACAGAAGTCTTAGTGGGAAGGAGCCCCTGGAGCTTCTATTAGAGGGAAGGACTTGGTCCACAGCAAGTTGCTGCAGCATTTGGTTCAAACCCAGTTTTCTCATTCTGTCAACCTGGTGTGTGTGCACATGTGCAGACATGCTCAGGGCTGTAGTTATGCTTCTGAAGTGCTGTAATGAGAAAGAAATATCAGAAGAAATGATACTAAATTCAAAGAAGTTAAGCTGAAGGCAAGTACAATTTTGCTTTAAAAACTACTCATTTTCCCCACCAATCTGTGTGGTCTCATCACTACTCATTCTGAAATGTGGGCTGCAGAGTTTTGTGGGATGATGAACTCTAGGGGTGGGGAGGCAAGGACTTATGGTATGATTGAAAGACAGGAGCCACTCTATATCCTGTCTGAGAACCCCCCAGCTCTTAACAAATAAATGTGACTTGACCTGACCCATTTGGATACTCACTTGTCTTCCTTCAAAGAAAATGTCTCCACAAAAGGGATTTCTTCCTTGTCTGTCTTCCCCATGATCAGCCGCTGCTTATCCAAGTTTATGATACACTGAAAATAGGAGAAACACTGGTCACTGTCAACGATCCCACTGTGAGGTCTCCATGTGAGAGGATCCCTGCCTCAAAAAGGAAGCATCAAGGGGAAAGTAAAGTCAATCCTACCTTCAGGGATCGAAGAGTCTGTAGACCAAGGGACAAGTTTTTTTCATTGTCCTCTAATAGAAACAAAAGACAAAGTAAAATTAAGATTCAGCCATTTCTTTTTTTTTTTTTTTATTGAATGGTAACTGTGTATATTAATGCACTTCTGGGGTACAGTGTGGTGTTTTCACACACAATCCGAAACACTTCCATCAAACTGGTTAACATAGCCTTCATGTCACTTTCTTAGTTATTGTGTTAAAACGTTCATATTCTACTCATAGAAAGATTCACTTGTACCCTTGTAAGATAAACCACAGAAGTGAACCCTTGAATCTCCCTCCCTCCACCCATTCCCCCCCCCTCCCTGATTCAGCCATTTCTATCCTTGCTCTAAAAATCAGCCTCATCATCTTTAAGTTCCATTCATCCACCAATCCATCCAATAAACATCTGTTGAGCATCTGGTATATTAAGTAATTTTTCCAGATCATTAAAGCTATAAGACTCAAACCCAGGTCTTTTAAAAAAATTTTTTTTTGAGATGCAGTCTTACTCTGTCACCCCAGCTAGAGCACTGGGGCATCACCATAGCTCAAACTCTTGGGCTTAAGTGATCCTCCTACCTCAGCCTCCTGCTGAGTAGCTGGGACTACAGGCACCCACCACAAAGGCCAGCTAGTTTTTCTATTTTTAGTAGAGATGGGGTCTTGTTCTTTCTCAGGGTGGTCTTAAACTCCTAAGCTTATGGGACCCTCCCTACCTGTGGGAGCTACTGCATCCAGCCCAAACCCAGGTCTTTAAAGGACAAAGGCCTTTAGGTAAACCCCACTAACTTTGGGTAGTCTAGAATAGAATATATGAGGAGAAATGTGGGAGGAGGTGGGAAATTATCATGGGATATGTGGCAAAGAAATAAGAGGATCTTGCCCTCTGCCACTAACTAGCTAATGGAAAGCTCTCAGGGGGACATTTTCACCTGTACACAAAAAATGTTTGTTTTCTTGCTCTTTTAATTTTTTATCAGAGCTCCATACTTTTTTTTCCTGATTGATTCTCAGCATGTCTTGAATATAGCTCAGGGCCCATCTAGTACTTTAGAGGGCAAAAATTGGGACAAGATCTATAGTACAGAATAATGGGAATCATTTTGAAAAATCCAACATTTACAGACATGAGATCTCATGAGGCTTTGTTAGGGGAAGTTTACATTAGGGACCATAAGTCCAGTCCCCTATTCTACTCACCAACCACAGCTGCTGGGCAGTCCAGGCGGAGGGAACCCAGTGTAATCACTAGGTGCTCAATCTGGCCCACTACTTTAAGATGCCGGGGTAGAGAAAGCTTTTCTCCATCATGCTTATGAGATCTGACATGTTCCTTGAGTCTGCACCAGAAAGAAAGATACTAAAATTTCCTTGGTAGAGGTTTCTGATAGAATCTGACAATGACTACCTTCTGACCCACAACTGGAACTCTCCAAGGATTTCCAGGGATTAATTTACCCAACAAGTACTAGCCACCCTACTTGTTTCAGCACTTTGCCCTAAACGTGCTGGGGGATATAAAAACAATAAAGACTCATCCTGTCCTCAAAAGCTTATGTCGTTTTCTGCATTGGTGAAAGGGAAGAACTGCCACATTCTGCATCAAAACATCCCTCCCTCTGAGTGAGGCAGCTTAGTTAGCATGTACTTTTACCTATCTGTGGGTAACAGATAACAGAGAGGGCAGGTTAATCTTAATTTTAGGAGATTCAATGTCTAATTTTCTCTTTATCCTTTCTATTTCAGTCTCTCCTCATTAGTATGTCTTAGGCTATGTTAGTGGAGGCAAGAACTTATTTGGAAAATGCATTGTTATTGGTATCAGCAAGGAATATCATAGAAAAAATCCGCATTAATTTGTCTGTGCAGGGAAGGAAGGAAAGAAACAGCACCAACATTTTACACAGTTATGTAAGCTGATTGGAATAGCTAGTACCCAAGCTATTATGGGTTGGTGGATAAATACTTAATTATGGACTTTCTGTGCCAGTACTTCTGATTTCTTCCTTTCCTCTCTTTTGCTGTTAACAGCGCATCCAATAGAAAAATAATTGCAGTTTTACAGATGGTTATTAATTCCTTTGGAATCATAGCAGTATGCTGCCTAATGATGCACCAGGACATTATTTAGTCTTTTTGGAACCATCATGTTGCACCGTACCTCATTTCTTCACCAAGTAACATTCAGGATTCTTCCCATAAGAATACCTCAGTCCTGGACTTTCCCCACCATCATAAATGTACAAAATCCACAGAGCCAACTTGAAAGTGTCATAGTGGTGGTGAGGGGTGAGGTCAGGGTAACAGATTTTGTGGCAGGGGTCACTTGTAATACAAATGAAGCTCTGTGTAAACCCTTCCTAAGACCATGGATGTCTTGAATGTAGCTCAGAATGGACCACTATATCTATCTTAGTGATTGTTTCATTACAGAAATTTGGCTGGGGAATGATTTATTGTATTTAGGGCTAGAGATATAGAAAATGATAATTGGGTTGATCCAACTGATTCTGAACTAGATCTCAGGCCTATCTGAACCTTTATAGGAAAAAGTAGGAAAAAGGAAAGAAATAAAAGTAGAGGTCTAGAAAAAAAGAGGTAAGATACAAAATGGCTTTCCTGGATTAAAGAGGGAAAACCCAATTCCAGCTGCTAGGTGTCTGCCTCACACTCAATCCCTAGCAGGGGCAGCAATAGGATCCAATTTTACAAGTTCTCTTTTTAAATTTCAAAATACTGAGGGAGTACAAATGTTTTTAGTTATATGGACTGGTTTTGTGATTCTTGAGTCATGATTATAAGTGTGTCTATCACTCAGATAGTGTTAATTGTACCCAATTTTACAAGTTCTTTACAGAGAGGAAAGGCACTAAAAAACTATTGATAAATCATACTTATGATGCCAACAGCAATTATAGCCTTATTCTCATTTATGACTGATATTTCTTGGGGACAGGCAGTGTGTCCTCCAGAAGGACTCTTGAATAAGCTGAGGCCAACTATATCCTTGCTTTTACTCATCTAGGGTACATAACAGGACAACTCATTCTAATTTGCTGTCTTGATGGATCAACGCAGGACATATAATGAGCCATGGATCTCTTGCTTTATCATTCCAGAGTCCAGAGGTCTTTGGTCAAAACTTAAAAGGTGAGAGTTAACAGAATGCCGAGGGCTTCCCTGGCTTACTGATTGCTTCTAGCTCTCTGACAACCCACCCCCTCTACTAGGGACTCTGGTTTCAGCTGAATCTGAGCTTTGCATGATTCTCTTTGAGCCTCTGTGGAGATACTCACCAACTCTAACCTTGAAATAGATGAAGCAAGGAGGGCATTCACATCTGACTACCACCCAGCACAATTAGCTACTTACCCCAATCTGTCCACACAGGCTGAAGAGATGAGATTATATTGACAGCCTGTGTCAACCAAGGCTTTCATATCCTTTCCAGCGCACTGTAGGGAAGGAATGTACTGTTCAATAGAAGCCATAGAAGGAAAATAGAAGAGAGATACAGAGAGTAAGCAGCAGATGCCACATAAAAGGCAGGGTTGCATCCTTCCAATTTATGGGTTGGTAAATCTGCCTTTGATTGGCTCTTCTTCCTGATGAATTCAGGACTGACAGAAAATCCCAAAGGATGTTGGAAGTTTCATTCTACATACCAAGTAGCTCTTCATCTTTGTTTAAAAATCACATACCCTTTGTAAGTAAGATGAGAGCTATGGTCCATAAAGATGCACAAGCATACAAAATATCCATACACTTCCAGTGTTGCAAGAAGTATCCCTTTAAAATTCAGTTATGAATTTCATAATAAAACCCACACTTTATAGAAGAGAGGGCCCCACTATTAGGATTATAAAGGACCTGAAATCTTTCTTTCCAGAAAACCCTGTAAAAGCTATTCTAAGATCATTACCTGGCAAGAAACCAAAATCATGTCATCATCCTCAGACTTCTTTAGTCCCTCAGACTTAGCCTGATTGAGTTTGTTGGTCTTGGAGGCCCAAGGGACACGACTGCTTCGAAGCTTTGACAGGTTGGTTTCCATGAGGCGCCTCTGCAGGATATTATGAGGTTGCTTGAGGAATAGAAAACAGAGGCTTCTTAGTGACAGGCCACATCCTCCCTGTCCCATAGTCCCTCAGATACCATAGAAATAATGAAGAAGCCTCACAAAATAGAATTCTACATTTGCGGTGGTGCCTGTGGCTCAAAGGAGTAGGGTACCAGCCCCATATACCAGAGGTGGCAGCTTCAAACCCGGCCCCAGCCAAAAATTGCAAAAAAAAAAAAAGAATTCTACCTTTGCTTTTTATTTATTCATCCTTTAAGTGGACACTTCTCTAGTATTGTCAGAGGAAGTACTATAAACCAATTTGCTATAGCCCACACTTACTGAATGAAGAAGGTGGGACACTGCGAAATGTGGATAGAGTGAATTAATATTCTGTGGGTCAAGAAAATGGAGGAACCCCTGTGATTTGGACTGCCATGGGCTTGCCGCCTTCCCCTCCCCTTACAAGAGCATTCAAAGGAAAAAGAGGTCTCAATCCAGAATAAGTGATCTTCTCTGTATCTTCTCAGGTGACTGAAAGTCAGTGCCTTATAGAAAAGGCTGCTTGGCTTGGCACTTGTGGCTCAAGTGGCTCATATACACCTGAGCTGGCTGGCGGGTTTGAATCCAGCCTGGGCCCATCAAACAACAATCACGGCTGCAACTAAAAAATAGCCAGGCGTTGTGGTGGGTGCCTGTAGTCCCAGCTACTTGGGAACTGAGGCAGGAGAATCGCTTGAGCCCAGAAGTTGGAAGTTGCTGTGAGCTGTGATGCCACAGCACTCTACCCAGGGCAATAGCTTGAGGCTCTGT